TTGTGAAATTGAGAAATTAGTAACTTGGTTGTTATTTTATTTTATTTATTTGTTTTTCAATATTCCTTACTATCACTTTTGATGGGGTTTTTGGCTAATTGTTCCTTTTGTATTTTTGGTATCAACACTTCACACTTTTCGATTATATACTTATCTTGAATACTTGATCCAATATTTTTGAAAACTATTTTTAAGTTGATGGGCTCTATGACATTTTTATGTTTTATGATTGTGCAGATGAACATGAAGACACATTTGTTCCCTCCATTGCAAAAGTTCCTAAATCTTACATGCTCAATATAGCTGTTTCTTTTACTAATGACACGCCTAAAGTGGCCATGCCGAAGATTTCTGTAATTAAAGGTATAGTTACCTTTTAACTCATATGATTTCTCCAACCAATTTGGTTTGCAGAAAGATATGTTGCAATTCTCACATTAGGATCTTGCTAATTTACAGAAGAAGAAAAGGATAACAAAAAGGTAGATTATGAAGATGGTAAACAAAATATTAGAGCCTGTTCGGTTCCTCGCCCACGGGCGGTCTTATCTAGTCCTGGTAAATTTGCTTAACTTTAAAGTTTTCATCTGTTTTGGGCAAATTACAAAAATCCTCTGGACTTTGTTATTAGTATCAACTTTCCACTTGACTTTTTAAATGTGCCAAGGACACCTCCTGAACTTGGGAAAATGGATGTAAAACCTCATTTGTTATTTCCGTCTGTTTTCCGTTCTAAAAATGGATGTAACCTCATTTGTAGTCATGTGCCCGACGTTATGTTTTGGACGGAAATCAAATGGAAGGACTAATGTTGCCACTTTTATTATTTATGGCAGATTTGAAAGTCAAGCGTCAAGTTGACACTAATGACAAAGTCCAGAGAAAATGTTTGTAATTTGTCCTTTATTTTACTTATACATCCGGGCCAAGGAAATGCATGAAAAAACCAGCAATATTTGTATGTATCTTATCATTGACACCCTTTATAGTAAATAATCATCATGAAGTTTATACAAATTACTCCTTTTAACTCTTTTCCCTTGGCGGAATTTCGTTTTTAGATAATGACTTGGCGATCGGTAACAGAAACAGAAGCAAAACTGAACGATTATCAGTTCTGAAGACTAGTAAGTTGCCTCAAAACAGACATTCACAATGTAAGGTTGTTCCAAATACTTCAGAGAATTCTGTGAACACAAAAAAGTCCAAGGAGAGTCACGATGATAGCAATCTCAAAGGAAGGAAAGGACCAGTAATAACAAGTCCTACTCAGAAACGACAAAGTAGAACTGAGAAACCAGCCACAACAAGAACTTGATTGTTCTATATTTGCTATTGCCATTATGGGATCAGTGCTTATATATGAGTGACCATAATCTTATATAGCATACTTGAGGATGGTATGCTTTGTTGTAATCATCTTCAACATAATATGAGCAAAAGTTTTGGCACAATATATTAGTTCTG